TAAGTGCCTAGTAGTCATATCCTAAGTGCCTAGTAGTCATATCATATCGCATCTAACTGCCGGGTGCGCCCACAGGTTGAACTGGAAGAGGTTACTAACAACTCTGAGACCCTTCTAATTACTTCCTTATCTTACTCCCAATATCTTACTCCTAGCCTTCTAATCCACATATTTGTCATCATACTACTCTCCTCTTGTATATACATTTTCTTTTTTCTCTGTACCTTCTTTTTATCAACTTCCTTCCTGTCTTCGCACATGCTGACCCTAACCCACCGCTCTTTATTACTGACCCTGACCCTGACCACACATACTGACCCTAACCATCTTTTCTTCACAACCCTAACCCTCTTCTTTCCACTTCCCACCACGTGTGTAGATGTGTATATATGTATATATACCTATTCGGAAGTCGATATAACCCTCTCCCCCGGACAGCACCAGCATGTGCCTCCTCAGAGACATCTTGCTCGACAGTTCCTTGTTGCTGCCAGTTGCCATCAAGTCCATGTTCTTGTTATCACCCTCTGTAATCACACAACACAAAGTAAATGACATGTGTGTAGCGGACGCACGGACCTCCGCTATGGGACGCAGATCTGTGATGCTATGCCACCTAAGTTCAACTACTTCCTGGAGTTTTTCTGTTTTCTAGCATTTAGCTCTATTTACCAAAACTATGATGGGTAAAATGGTAAAATGTTCTATGTGCCTCGTTTGCTATAATCAACAATTAGTTTTGATAACGAATACAACATAAACAACGAATACTCTTGCATGACGCAAATTTTGTTGCTTCTTCGACGCAAACGACATTAACAGACATGAGAGTGCTTTCCATTTAACGTACTTTCCATAGACCAACGTAACAACTGTCTATTTCCCAGGAGTTGAAAAAAACCACTAAAACATTCCGGAAATCCCCGTGTTTTCCAGGAGCCCAACACAAACGCGCAATTTCGTGAAATGTCGCGGTGTCGCTCGTACCTCTGATGGCCACAAAGAACTTGACAGCGTCGCGGTGTCCGTGGAAGGACAGCTGAGCCTGTGCCATCGAGCAGTAAGGCACAAACGTTCCCGGCTTGACGCTGTCCGTGCGAGTGTCGCTGTACACGCGCACAACTCCACCAGGCTTCCCGACCCCACCGCTCGACTGCTGCTTGTTGCCTGCATCAAAACACACACCCACCCGCAGAATTACAGAGGGAACGTGCGAAAGTTTGACATGAGAATTGAAGAAATTAAGAAATGAGAAAGAAAAGAGGAAATGAAGATTTCCGTGGTATCTCCCGCCGATCATCCCTTCTCCGCATAATCCACCCATGCGCGGAATTAGCAATCGCAAATGCTGCATAAGCCTCGGCACAATGCCGCGTGATTTAATCACGTGCGTCGCGTTTTCGAAATGATATCATTGTTATCGAATACAATGGAATTCAAGACCAATCCTGTGCTCGGATATATCTTCGTATGGCGTCTAAACAGAAACACGCTTTTAAATTTAGCATATCAATCCATTAATCTGCAGCTCCTACTTCAGGATTATTGATACTTTTCGAAGCGCCTGTGTCTGAATCGTTTTTGAGCCGGATTTCAGATAAAGTTCGTGAAAAAGAATCGTTTGAATTCACCACGATCTGACACGAACAACTAGAACGCAGGCACAAAAACTTTTCCGCACCTGCGTGTTGCGTTTGCGAAATGATATCATTGTTATCGAATACAATGGAATTCAAGATCAATCCTTTTCTCGCCACAAACGGATATATATTCGTATGGCGTCTAAATAGAAACACGCATTTAAATTTAGCGCATCAATCCATTAATCTGCAGCTCCTACTTCAGGATTATTGCTACTTTTCGAAGCGTCTGTGTCTGAATCGTTTTTGAGCCGGATTTCAGAAAGTTCGTGAAAAATAATAGTTTGAATTCACCACGATCTGACACACACATCTAGAGCTTAGACACAAAAACTTTTCCGCACTTGCGCCACGACACGTAACCTGAGCACGACATTCTTACAGAAACCACCACGCTCATTCGTATGGCGCAGCGACTACCCTAACCCTCGTCGCAAGGTCGCAATCGAAACGCCGTTTGTTAACTGACGTCACGGCGGCGGCACACGCGCGTCTGCCGAGGGAAGCTCGATGACTCACTCTCAGAGAGGGGGACGGAGATGATGACGCCATTGCCGGTGCCCATCCACAGCCGGTTACAGGAGACGTGCAGTGCCGTGATCCTCACAAAGGAGAAGCCGAGCTTTCCCGTGCCTGCAAGTGCAACGCGCGACGTTACATCACGGAGCGAGAACGCACGCACGGAAGCACGCACGCACGCACGCACACACGCATGCATACACACACGCCTGCGCATACACACACGCACACACACACGCAAGCACGCACGCACGCATACACGATTACACACACGCCCACACAGGCACACCCACACGCAAGCATGCGCACATGCTCACACACAGGCACACCCACACGCTCGCATACACGCACGCTCGCATACACGCACGTATGCATGTACACACACCCACACGCAAGCACGTACGCACGCACGCACGGGGACGCGTATGGTTGGCCATCATTCTCAGAAATAATAATTTCGGCACATAATTTTTCGCTCACATAATTTAACCGCGAATAAATTATCTTTACCGCAATTAAATCACGTGTAACAAGGCATCTGATTGGGCAAAAGGTCCATAATTTAACCGCGATCAAATTATTTTTACAGCGGTTAAAATAACTATTTCCGAGTACAACAGCCAACCATAGATGCTGTCTGTCGCGTGGCTCCACCTACCGAGCATCTTGCTAACGTAGGGTTCGATGTCGACGTCCTGTAGGTGCTGGTGCGTGTGCGCGTGGTAGAGACGCAGCGTCGAGTCGAGCCGGATCGAGATCCACACGCCGTCGCCGACCCACGACATCTGACGCACCTGACTCTCCTTACGTGGGTGCGCATCAAACGACATCTGCAGCAGCGAACGCAGGTATGTGACGGTGGCGACACGAGCACACACGCACTCACACGCAGGAATACGTACGGAAAAATGTTAATTGGAAAAAAATTAGGGGTGGCCGAATCACCGAGTTATCCAGCGTGGGATTTCAATGCATCGATCGAGTACACTTGTTTCCTAACCAGGCGTGCGGTCTTATTTATACACAACAGAATGACTGCGTACATTACAGTTGTTAGTATGCTAGCAAGTCGGGCAGGGGGGGGGGGGCTGGTTGAGTAGGGGGAGCCTCACGAAGGAAATGGAGTGTCAAGAATGACGAGAGAGGGACGAGGTCAAGTACGAGGGGGAGGTGGATCAGTATATTAAGGAATAACGGAGTATGAATAGAAGAGTGACTGACAAAAGCTATCTAACTAGAGCACGTGCGGAAAAGTAATTAAAAATAAGTGATTAAATTTAACTCAAATAATTAATAATTAAATGAGTAAGCGAATTCAAACGCTTTCCATCGATGCAACAGACTTTCTCGATTGGACGAGAGGCGTGAGAGCACACACACACACGCACGCACACGCACCTCTACTTCGAGGGTCTTTGAATTGACGACGTGCACCCTGTTCCTGTATCCGCACCAGATGTTGTCGATGACGACGGTCATGCAGCGGATGCTGTGGTGAGGTCGCCCAAGGTCAATGAGGTGGTAGCTGCTCAGGTCCCACTGACCATCTAGGTAGGAACAGGAGCAAGTTGAGATTCAGACAAACAGCGATTAATATTAACGTGCAAGAGCCTGCACGGCTGCGGTTGTTGACTTTACGATCGATATGCATGCTATTGTTTTACGTGTCGTGCAACGTTAAAGAGCATGGTGCAGGAATACCAACATTGTTTCACTTAGTTTATAGATGAAATCATTGCAGCATTATAACTTAGAGGTATCTTGTTGCCAAGTCACGGCTAGCAATTTTAGATGAGCTTATTTTTGTTATTAACATAATTATTGTTTATTTTTAGTTCAATATTACTTTGTTCTAAAGGTTACGCGTTTTGCGGCGTTACGTTATGCGTACGATAATAGACGACGCATACCGGACGCACGGTGAAACACCGCAACAGTTCCGTCGGCCAGAGCTATGAACACTCTTCCCTTGATGTGGACGATTGCCAGAACCGAATCCTTGAGCTTCACCGAATGTATGCACCGCTTCCACTGCGACATTGACGAGTGAACATACACACTGCAAGAACAAGGCATCCGCATCGTGGAACACGTCGTGCGAACAATAGCGAACACGTGTAATCAGACTTTAAATTGACTACGTCGCAAATTTTCTGGTGTATATTTTTAAAAAATTTGTTGCCATTTCTTTACACTAAAAGTAAGTACTAACGCGGCTAAATGTATCGTCAAATTCTTACCTGATAAGATTTTAACTAGCTAAAAATCCAAAAAACCTGGACGATTTGACATTATGATCCTGACATTAATTGCTTGCTATGGACTATGTATGAGTCACGAGTGTATGTTTACATCAAACAATATAGTCAAATAGGAAGTATAATGCAGCAATTTAACCCTAAAAAGTGAACAGAATTTCTTACATTTTGTGAAAAAGTGGAAATATTTTTTTACTTTTACTATTATTATTACACTTTAACAGCATCCTCTGTAGTTATGTATCACAGCTAGCGGATTGCGTGTCTCGCACTTACTAGTACGTCAAGCATCACGCACGTACTTACTAGCATGTCCCATCATGTTATACACCTATTTAATACCACATCACGTGCTTACTTGCTAGCATGTAAAGATGCGGTCGCCGTGACGACGGCGCGCTTACCTGCCGCTCTGCGAGCCGAGCCACATCGTGGGCGGCGGTCGCCGTGACGACGGCGCGCTTACCTGCCGCTCTGGGAGCCGAGCCACATCGTGGGCGGCGGTCGCCGTGACGACGGCGCGCTTACCTGCCGCTCTGGGAGCCGCGCCGCATCGTGGGCGGCGGTCGCCGTGACGACGGCACGCTTACCTGCCGCTCTGGGAGCCGAGCCACATCGTGGGCGGCGGTCGCCGTGACGACGGCGCGCTTACCTGCCGCTCTGGGAGCCGCGCCGCATCGTGGGCGGCGGTCGCCGTGACGACGGCACGCTTACCTGCCGCTCTGGGAGCCGAGCCACATCGTGGGCGGCGGTCGCCGTGACGACGGCGCGCTTACCTGCCGCTCTGGGAGCCGCGCCGCATCGTGGGCGGCGGTCGCCGTGACGACGGCACGCTTACCTGCCGCTCTGGGAGCCGAGCCACATCGTGGGCGGCGGTCGCCGTGACGACGGCGCGCTTACCTGCCGCTCTGGGAGCCGCGCCGCATCGTGGGCGGCGGTCGCCGTGACGACGGCGCGCTTACCTGCCGCTCTGGGAGCCGAGCCACATACTGGGCGGCGGTCGCCGTGACGACGGCGCGCTTACCTGCCGCTCTGGGAGCCGAGCCACATCGTGGGCGGCGGTCGCCGTGACG